GGGGGGGGGACTTTACGTGGCTTGATCAGATTTTTGAAACTGTTCAACTTTGAATGACTAGAGCACCACCATTCTCAATCCAACAGGAAATTGAACGTAACTGGTGTACTAGCAAAAGATGAAAGTCTCAAATGAGATTTTGCTGCAAGTATGGCCACTACAGAGCTCTTATTATGACTGAGTACTTCGTTCACAAATTGCTTTTGATCACCAAGATGATGTTAAGTGGATCGGGGAAGAGCAAACTGCAGTTAGTTTTAAGTGGTTACTCCAAAGCACGACGGCAGAATCATTGAAAACGTCTACGAGACTTTTCCATAAATTGGCATCAAAAGCCTGTGTAACTCATTACAGCATTCCTATTATAGCTTTAATGCATTTAACTAGCAGTTTTAAACATATCTTGACCATTATTTTGGGTTTCCATTAGGTTTCTGTAGGTTTTGACCATTTGAGGTCATGATAATGATGGGACCTCTGTAAACTGACAAGAACTTGACGTCATCATCTGGTAGATTTGTCCCGAGAGGGGCTCCCATATGAAAAGGTCGTGGATGCTCGTCTTCTCGCTTAGGGGTATGAATCAAGGATTCTGGCCTCACTTAGGGTGTTCATGACGAATCGCCATTGTTTTTAGCTGCAAAAGTATATTTAAAGCCCCGCCCAAACGATCGCAACATTTCAACGCAACTTTGTCGGGAGTAACATGTTGCGTATGTTTGGCCACCCTGTTGCGACGTGTTGCGACATGTTGGGTGTTGTTGGCTCGAATTTGAAAATGGTCAAATTTTTCATGCAACATTTGTGGTTGTTGCATGATGTTGTGGTCGTTTGGCCAGGTCCGTCCAACAATGTTACGCCCGGGCATGCGCATTAGCTCGATTTTCAACACCCAACATGTCGCAACATGTCGCAACAGGGTGGCCAAACGCGCGCAACATGTTGCACCCAACAATGTTGGGATATGCTGCGTTCAAATGTTGCGATTGTTTGGCCGGGGCTTGCAAATTCTGGGTTAACAATGTTGGGATATATTGTGTTCAAATGTTGCGATCGTTTGGCCGGAACTTAAGGGTGCACTCGAATGGTCACAAAAAAAAAACCGCTCTTATTTCCGTTTTTAGGCTCGATTTTTAGTGGTATCTTCTAGGGGTCAAATAAAGCTCGAGCCACACCCAGATTGGTCTCCTTTAGGGGTTTAATTAAGATTTTCGACGAACATCCCCGAGCTTTTAATATGGGAAGCCCCCCCCCCCCTACCGGGGGATTTGATACTCACCTGTTGTCCAACACGAGACAGAAAGCGCAGCCGGAGTTGAGCTGCGGAGCGAGGAGTTATAGGACTAACACCATAATCTCTCTTACGAATTTCTTCTTCTTCTGAAGATACACTGGGAAAAAAATGATCAGTTAAATTACTTTTTGTCACATAACCTACACGTGGCTTTTTCTACTTTGACAGGTTACGCGCTCTACCAAAAAAGAAAAACTTATCCCCAAATATACGCAACGTTATGGCGAGTAAAGGTAACTAAACACCTCGTTAACTGATGCTCCTCAGAGTTCAAGATCGGAGATGAATCTGTACGGTTTAATGACCGTACTATTTTTATCAGGGAGAAGCGGTGGCCTCATAGAGGTGCACTTGCCTCCGGATCGAGCCGTCCGGGTTCAAGCCCTGGCCGGAGACATCGTGAACTTGTGTTCTTGGGCAAGACACTTTACTCTCACAGTGCCTCTCTCCACCGAGGTGTATAAATAGGTACCGCCGAATTTAATGTTGGGGGGTAACCCTGCGTGCACTAGCATCACATCCAGGGGGAATAAACATAATCCTAGTCGTCTCATACTACAGAAACCGGAAATAAGCTCCTGTCTGATGGGCCACTTGGCTCGTATGCAGACTTTCTTACCCACATTATTTTTATCAGAATCGACAAAGCAGTTTTATGCGAAGAGACTGATCACCCTGAAAATGATACAATTTCTTTCCACATGAATAACTTACAGCGTTACTCTGCTCTGAGCTGCTAACTGTTTTCTCTCTAGAGTGGAAAGGTTAAGCCCTGTTCCTATTTAAAAAAAGACAAGCAAGCGTTAAGAAAAAATTCTGCTTATCCCCCTTATACCGTGCTCCTTTATATGCAGCTTGTTGCGCGGTTGCGGCAAGACCTCCCTCCCCCTCCATCAGAATCTCCCAGCAAGACCTCCCCTCCCTCCCTCCCTCCCTCCCTCAGAATCTCCCAGCATGAACCCTGCCCTCCTACCTCAGAATCTCTCACATTCTATCACACGATAAGATTATTCGCTCTCCAGTTCTATCGCCCGATAGAAATCGAGAGCGAATAATCTAATTGTTTTAGTACAAATGTACTAGTCGTTCAAAACTGGATCTAAATCCTCTTCACAGACACTTCGAAAACGCCAAGAAGCGGCCGTCACTTTGTTAACAAGGGCACACTGCCACGCTACTCACTATCTATCACAGAATAGATAGTGAGTAGCGTAGCCAATCAGAGAACGCCATTTGTGATAGAACGCTAGTAGATTTAGACTAAATTAAGTTACGAACGTCTTCACAGAAAATTGTACTTCAACGAGTTTCAACCTGAATGCAGATCAAAACAAGTGTTTATACCAAAATGGCTTTTGTACAATAAATCTCTTATTAGAGCCATTTATACTTCTTTTTTTCCCGTCGGCTCATTTCGCAACGGTCTTTTATTTCGCTTTTAAATATATTTTTCAAAAAAAGCCAATGACAACAACAACCACAACAAAAAGCAAAATGTTGTAGCGTAGTTACTAAAGTAGACTTACTCTTTGAAGAATCCACCAAGTACAGCAATATGCTGGCAATTAACGCGACTGTTGTAGAAAAAAAAAAACAAAACAAAATCACAGTCTCCCTCAAGAAAGTAAATTTTCGAAAATTTAAGGTGGTTCTGAACCCCCTCGACAGAATTTTTTATCACTTTGCCAAAAGTTGCAACTTATCCTGCTAATCAAAACTAGTAAAAAACAATAGGGGTCACCGAGCTAGCTTCTGAGTTAGTAACAGTAAAAGCTAAAATTAAGGGTGTTTTTAGCAGGTCATACTGTTGCTACGGTAACCTGTTGTCTCACGAAAATGATAACAACGTTTCCACCAATGATTGAGTAGTTTTTTTGATACCATGATTGTAGTATCAACTGATAAAAACTGGTTATGATGACCCATCAAAATCTAACTCTTGGAAAGTGCTAGAAACTGTTGCCAGCCACCTTAAACTTGACGAATTATTAACGAGTTTGAGAAAAGCTGAATCTCATCACATCGCTGCTTTTTATGAGTTGGATGGAAGTAATTTGAACACGTACCACACAGCCAAGCACAGAAAAACACTTCCAGCACTAAATATCCTTTTTGGTCGACGATCGTCCCAGCCACTTGTGAAATAACAGCCAATCCCAGGTTTTGAATAGACTGCATGCTGAAAGAACAGATTAAACGCACGTCTATTTGTATGCAATTTGCGGTGAAGAAAAAGCTCATTGTTTGTTTTGCCTCATTACTGCATACTAGTTTGAGAAGAAAAGGCATCATGTTACAAAAGAAAAAAACTCAGAACATTTCATTGAAGAACAAAGGGAGGAGGGGGGGGGGAAGTCCCATACGAAAAGGACGGCGGTGTTTATTGTACCTTTTAGGGGTTAAAAAGGCGGTTTAGGGTGTTCAGCCTCAAAAATTCCACAGCGAGAGCTTTTACGGTACCTTTAAGGGTATTGAGCAGAAAAAAAATTATGACAGGAGACAATCTTTTGTTTTCTAATAGCTGTTATTGCAGTTATCAGCGGCTTGACACACAAACGAGGCGAAAGGGTCAATTCCGCATTGTATTGACTCTTTCGCCTCGTTTGCGCGCCTTTTAAAACAAAAGAATATTTGACCGCAGACTCAACTGCAATAACAGCTATTGTTACCTCTCAGGGGTGAAAAAATATTTCAAGCTACGCCCACAAAGCAGGATCTTGGTACCTCATGGAGGTTCTTTTCAAAATTTCCGACGAGCGCCCTCGGGCATTTTATATGTTAGTCCCCCCGGGAATAAATGATCGAATTTCTGGCTGGCAAAAGCACTAATGAGCTCAGGCATTCTTTGTCACATAAAAAAATATGTACAATGTAATAAGTCTAGCTTATTCCGCGGGAAAGTAAAACGCGCCATGCTCTTTCAGTATTCAGAGCTGATATTTTGTAAGTCGACCAGTAACTGAAGTGAATATTCTAAGATGCAAATATCGTACACAAAGATTCCCCTATACAGCCAAACAAAAAATGGCGAATTTACAAGTAGAACTGCTCTAAGAATTGACGAGTTGCCTGCCAGATGTTTTTCTGATGCAAAAGTTGTCGAGATTTACTTACAATCCATAAGCGGTGCCCAGTTGATACTCTGGTACAACTAGAGAAACAAGCGGCCAGAGTGCACAAGCCAGCATGGAGTATGATACACCCATGATACTCTGCGATAAAAATAACACCACGTGAATTAAACGCCGTCCAAACAAATTTACAGATAGACAATCAATCTAGATTTAAAATGCAACTTAATCCTCTAATCGACGAGTGGTTCTCGTACATGTAGTCAGTGTGTATATCTAGCAATTCTAACAACTGCATGTCTTAGGCCCCCTTCCACACTACGCCGGAGAAATTTGAAAACGGAGGTTTCACTCTGACAAAGCATCAAATGTTTTCCGTCCACACTTCCGGCTGCTGAAAATTTAAAAAGGCAACAATCACCAATCACGTTTGAAGGGCGTTTCCGAAAAGCTCTGTTTTCGTGACAGGTTAGTGTGGACGGCAGGCCTAACCGTAGAAATAAAGCTGCTCTTATTCAAAATAGAGCCAGTGCAAAAAGCGAGAATTCCATGTCAATGACAGCCAGTCCCTCAGTCATTCGATCTTCAAGAGAAAAGTAAGGGCGACGACGTCGTGTTTGGCGAAACAAATCCTGCCTCTGTACGCACCGGGAAATGTTCGGAACGCCTTCGGAAATCTTCGAAATGTCTTCGGAAATCTTAGAACGCCTTGGAATATGATCGGGTCGTTAAATTTCCCAGGATAACAAACTTACAATTAAAGTGCCTATGAAATGAAAAATAATTGCTGCGTATTTGAAAGGTTTTTCAGAATAAAGAAGAATGGCGTTTTCGAGATATTGACGTTTTTGTATTATGCAAATTAGGAAAGTGATGATGTTATGAGGTTCGCAACTAAAATGGTAAAATACTGAATAAAGAATATCTCTGGAGATATTGAAGCAGTGTTGTTCAAACTAGCACCAGAAATGTTCATCACAAATGACACCTGCTGTGATGACAGACTTCTAAACTATCGTCGTTGTAGCTGTTACAGCGTTGTTAGAATAAGACAAATGGAAGGTAAATGGAAGGCAAATGACCTACCATGGCAACAAATGGATTCCAAAATGTGAATGCCATCATACAATGACAACCTAGGGTTACGGCCACTGATAAAATCACTACCACAAAGAGAAAACGAAAATCGTTACGAAGTGAATTACATTCAAAATATCAAAACAGTGTCCAAGCTATACAGCGTTTGGAATGTAAACATAAGCTAGCAACAAGGAGTATCTCTACTCCCCCCTAGACGGGATGCTAGTCCATCGCAGGGTTACCCCCTAGCATTTAATTCGCCGGTACCCATTAATACACCTGGGTGGAGAAAGGCACCGTGAAAGTTAAGTGTCCTGCCCAAGAACAGAACACAGTGTTCCCGGCCAGGGCTCGAGCCCGGGCAGCTCGATCCGGAGACGAGTGTACTAGGCTTGCGACAAAGTGAAGAAAAAATTTTTTTTTCATGGAGAGGCTACAAAAACTACTCACCCCAGAAGACATTCTTTCCAACTCTATCAACCATAAAACCCAGGAAGGGAGAAGCACAAGCTGAAATAATGAACACCACACTGCAAACGAAGAACAAGTAGTTTTCCTTAGAATGAACTTTAAAGCCTAAAGAAGCTGCGACACGGTTTGAAAAGTTTAAAAAGTGTTCATATGTAATCCGAGTTAATCTTCTCCATCCTTAACCATCTTATGATGATCTCTATGGCGTTTTTCTATCTTAGCAAACTTCTATTTTCAGGTTTTCTTCAATTAAAAGGTAATAATATTTTGTACGTGGCCAAATAACTCAAAATACCGAGACTTTTGTTACTGGGAGAGGCGACAGCAAAATAGAGGAAGTGGTATTTCTGTGGAATTTCTATCTCGTTAATCAAACCTTGGGTATAGAAAATGGCACTTATGGTTCACAGACTTTCCAAGGACTATTCAAGGTCTTTTTAAGGACTATTCAGCAATATTTTAAAAGGACTCATTTCCCTATAGATCACATGCAAAATTTCGTTGGGTGAACTCATAAAATTAACAAATTGACGTCAGCTTTTTCATGCGTCTGTCTGTCTTTGAAACCAGAGCGCTTGGCAAACCAATTTTGGGGGCAAGCCCTGGCTATGATTTACTAGCCCGAAAGTTGTTCTCACTTACACTACTCCATAAAATATCATTTCTTACACCAGTTCTGTAATTTCAATCTCCTTAAAAATGTTTCCAAGAAACTTCATGTCGGGCAAGCGATGGACAAAATTGATGATAGCCCCGATGCACAATCCACTAGCCCGGGGCTATCAGACACGACTTTCTTTGCATGTCAACTTCTCAACAAAATTCAGCCACCACTGCTGAAAATTGGAGATGTTTTATTTTCAAGGATATGGCAATTTTTCAAGGCCTTCTCATGGCCTGTGCAAACTATGTAGTTATTAAGGTACACACGGCACACAAGGCACACATCAACAGCAAAAAGAGAAAAGAAATTATGTAAAGCAGTTGGCGTAAGGTTAAGTTAGCAAGTATGTCCATTTTCTTACCTGTTCACTGCTCCAGCTTCACTGGGAGCCAAATCAAACTTGGCTTCAAAAAATGCACTAAGAAGAGAAAACAGGAAACGTCCACTTCAAACCATGTTCTTATATTCTTCACTTGCACGGAACATTGTACAAACACTTGCTCAATATACCCCTCAAATGAAAAAGTTGACAACCTTGACTCGATCCTCTTTACCCTATTCTAGTGTAAAGTAATGCAAATGTTAATACGGCCAACGGCTACAGAGCACTCTGAAATCCCAACCTGTATAATCCTTTATAATTTTACCCCGTTTATACGGCCACTAAACTAGTTGTGTTCATCTTTCCATTGTTAACATTTTACCCACTGATTTAAGTTTCAGTTCTCTAAAATTATATCTGCATTCCAGAAGCTTATTAAAGAACACTTGTTAAGGAGTGCAATTATTGTGAAATACCTGTAAAGATGTCATTTAATTTAGACCAATCATGAGGTTTGACCCTACCCCGTTGATACCACCAAATTTTCATGGCCTGTTGGTGACCTTATTAAAAGGGGGGTTCCACTATAAGTGCAAGTGGATACAAGTTTTTTTTACATGACTGTTTCAGTACAAATAGAATATCTACTTACAGACCAAGTGCAATAAATGGAAAAATAGCCACGTAGTAGGCCACACAGATAATGAATATCAGCCACAGAGTGGCTGGGAAATCTTTGACATCTTGTAAACGGATGACCTCCCCTGTGAGAAGCAACAATCACAATTGACTCGTGTGATTTAAGTCAATAAAACCCTACGCCAAAGGGTGAAAGGTTATACAGTAAAGGCCTTACAATACCAGTCAAATGTAAGTTGGCAAAATCAAATCAAAATTCGATACTTCAATACTTGACCCTCAATACTTTCAAAAATTGAGAATCGATTCTCAAGGCTCAAGCTTCCAAGATTTGAGTTGAGTCTTGAGTTTTGAGTTTTCAGGAAATAATGTATTTCTCAAATACATACTGTAAAAATGGCAACGAATGATGGAAACAATACCAAAAAAAAAATAGATTAAGTACATAAGATCTTTGTTTCTTTGTTTCCTTAACTTGAAACTCTAACTACTCAACTTGAGACCTAAATGCACTGACCCCAAGACGCGATGCTCAAGGTTGTCGAGTGTCAAGGATCCAGGAGTGAGTAAAGTTGTTCGAGTTTGGCAGGACTGTCGACTTACATTTGACCAGTACTGTAATTTTGTATCACATGCCACAAGAATGGCAGGTAATGATCAAGATGCTGAAAAAATGACACTGAGAAAAGGCTATTGTAAAATGCTTGAAGAATTGTATGTCTAGTTCCCTAGATGTACTTCAACACTGCATTAAATAGAAAAATAGTTACAATTGTTTAATAGTGTGCAGCCATACAAATTTTCAATTGCTATGCACTGTTCAACAAAGATTTTGGTCTATTTACTTTTATTAATAATTCTCAAGGTAATTTCATTTTTCACACTGGAATCTTGACATTTTGAATCACCTAGGAGAACAGAAACTGGTTTGAAAAATTGTGAAGTTTGAAAAATCATTATTGGGTAAGTTTCTCCTAATGTTTTTTGGCCAAGGGAGCAAAGGACTGCTTTCAAAAATCTGGAGGGTTGAAAAAAATCGCATTTCACTGAAGCAGTTATGACATCTGTTTTTCTATCAAAATTTGAAATGAACAAACATCATTTAATGTACATGCATGTAAACAATAACATTACAAAAGATCAACTACAAACCTGTTTGTCCATCTTCCTTTTTGAGGATACGAGCTGCTCTTTTGTCAAGAAAGCCCAACATTAAACCACAGCCAAGAGAAAACAGGCAAACTGCAGCACCTAATCACACATCAAAAGTGTTTCAACCCATTCAGAGTACAAACATTTGTTATGTGTATACATGTGTAACTGAAGTACTGGATTGAACAATCATACTGTATTATGAGGGAGGACAGAGAAGAGCACTGTGGTACAGCATTGGAGTGGAGGCCAGAGGGGAGGGGAAGACCAGGTCGACCCAAAACAACATGGAGGAGGAGGATTGAAGAAGAAAGGTGTGCAGTTGGATGGCAGTCATGAGCGACTGTCAGGGCTCTGGCAGCAAATTGAAGTGGGTGGAAAGAGAATGTGTAAGCCTTTTGTGCCTTATGGCATGGAGAGATATACATGTAGTTATAGGTAGGTAATAGGAAACATTTTCCAAAAAAAATTGGAAAATTGAAAACTTGAAAGGATGGTTTACTGTGGTTTTGTATGTTAGCTGGTTATATACCATAGCTGTCAAACTATAGCAACAAAATACAAAGTTAGATGTTTATTGCTGACAATAAGTATAACTTGCCAATTAAATTTTGCTACATCACATGACCAGCTTTGTGGCCTCAAAATTTCCTCAGAATTCTAATATTTGAACTATAACAGTCATTTTCCAAGCAAGTTGCCAGCCCCATGAAAAGGATCTTGTGACCCTGCTGGGGTAGATACAGGTTTTAGGAGAAGGGGGAATGATATACGGACCGCCTTAGGGGGTCCCCTAGCAGGGGGTTCCTGAGACATCCTCCCCCAAAAAATTTTTAAAATTGACGTCCAGCATTCTGAGGCTAAGTCAGCGTATTATAATGTCTCCCTCATTTTTTTAATTTAGGGAGTCGACCGAATCCCCCTAGATCTGCCACAGCACTGAAACCTTCACCTTTAAATGGACTAGTTGGGATCACACCTACCTATAAATAAGGTCATTCCTAAGGCTTTGTAGCTTTCCGTGGGATTAACATGGTTTACAAATCCCTTATAAATTGGATTGTTGACATTCATGTTTATTGTACTACCCTACAAAAATAATAATAATAATAATAATAATAATAATAATAATAATAATAATAATAATAATAAAACCCAGCAAGTTAGGGCTTTTTTAGCGGAGCTACTGCGTGCCAAAGGCATTGATTAGAAAATTCCATTGATTAGAAAATTTGGTAACCCATCAACATGCAGTGCATACAAAGGGCTATGTACTGCCCATTTACCCACTGGATGCGCTACTATAAGTATGATCTGGAGCTGCAAAAGGACTGTTGAAGCTGTATCATTAAATGCTTCTATCTAGCATGTAAGAGAAAACATGATACTTTAGAGGTAATGAAAGACTTTGAGCTAAAAACTAATGCAGATTAGCAACTGCAAGCAGTGGGATTCAACTCTTTGCATAAGCAGGTTGAACTTCCATTCTGTTCTTAGACTAGCGCACTATTATTTAGTGGTAACAGTGCTAGAAAAAAGAGCTGTCTGGTCGTATGGGGCAAGTAGATTTTCCTGCCGGGAAAGCGCTGGGTCAGTGTTTAAAAGACACTGAGAAGCTAACTAAAACCGTTCTCATCAAAATCTTTGCTTTTGCATGTACTGTAGCAAAAGCCTAAGGTTACACTAATTGAAAAATTTTCTGTTAAAGATGAGCTGACTTCTTTATAAGACAAACTGGGTTTTTGTGCTTTAATTTGTTTTCTCAGACAGGGCAAAAGTCTGGATTAAATATCTGTTACTCTTGTGTATTACTTGTGCAAAAAATCCTTTTCACAACTGATTTGCTATTGATCCTTGAATGACAGGCCTACAGACTGTATTGCGCAGAGTTCATGAAACATACCACTCTGGAGAAACTAAGCTGAAGACCAAACACCATGTTCAACTCTTTTCCTTTGAACCAGCTAACAGAGTAAGTGTTCTGAGCCACAGCCAAATTTTCTCCTCCTAGGCTGGGGAAGAAAACAAGAAATATAGCAGAAGCAATGATAGTAGTTATTATGGTTTTCCCAAAGTTTGAGGAATCTCATAAAACGAGCTTTAGTCCCATGGTTTACATTTCCTGTTGCAGAGAACCGTAAAACACACTTACCCAAATACAAATCTGCCAACTTCCATCACTGTGAAGCTATGGATATAAGCTCCAAGTGCAAAAATGAGCTAGAACAATAGAAAACATTCATTCCAGGTAAGTCTTGTTTGTAACAAATAAAATTAGAAACAAGGCAATTGTAACACCATCTACTTGAATACCAGTTTTGCATGGCCACTTCATTTGACTACAACTTCCAGAATTCCTTTCGTATTCAAATTTTGATGACCCAGGCTGAGTCTAAGAACAGTAACAATTGCTTATTAATTAGCACACTGTAAGAAAAAGAAAAAGTGAAGGATTCTGGTAGTTATACATTTGATGCCATCATGCAAATGGCCTGTTGCTCAAAGACATGAAAGAAATTCAACAATCAAAGAAGTTTTTTTTTCTGCATACAATGGTACTGATTAAATATAGCAGATTGCAGACATTGTACCATTTCACCTTACCTGACCAGTTAATACAAACAAACTGAAGATAATAGTTCCAAGTCTAAAACAAAAAAATTAAACCAACAATGGTAAGCAAAGGTAAGTGGTGACAGGTGGAGGATAAGGGGTGCAGGGTGAGGGTCAAAGAGTTAGAGGTGAGGGGTGAGGGACAAGGGATGAGGGACGAGGGACAAGGGGTTAGGGGTTAAAATGTGAGGGATTAGGGGCAACGAACAAGGGGCAAGGGACAAGGGGTTAAAGGTGAGGGGTGAGGGATGAGGGATGAGAGATGAGGGATGAGGGATGAGGGATGAGGGATGAGGAATGAGGGGTGAGCGATAGTGGGTGAGAGGTGAGAGATGAGGGACAAGGGGTTAGGGATAAAAGGCGAGGGATGAGGTGTGAGGGCTGAGAGGTGAGCAGTGAGGGGCAAGGGGTGAGGGGTGAGGAGTGTGGATTAAGGGACGATGGACGAGGAGTGAGGGATGACGGACAAGGGGTGAGTAGTGAGGGTAAAGGGGTGAGGGGTGAGAAGTGCGGATTGAAGGACGATGGATGAGGGATGACGGACGAGGAGTGAGAGTGAGGATTGAGGGATGATAGACGAGGGGTGAGGAGTGAGGGTTGAGGGTTGAGGGGGGAGGGGTGAGGGGCGAGGGGCGAGGGGTGAGGGGCAAACCATGAAGAGTGAGGAGTGAGGAGTGAGGAGTGAGGAGTAAGGAGTGAGGGATAATGGATGAGGGGCGAGCAGGCTTTTAGCCAGATGGGCGTCCAGGCATCCTGTGGATGGCCACTTAAGAATATTGGTTTATTTTTCATATGTTGCCTTATAAATTGTTCATTTGAGCAGGCCATATAGTGCATTTTGGATGCCCACTTTTCAAATCCTGGCTTAAAGCCTGGAGGTCAGAGAAGGTGAGAATCAGAATTCTTGAGAAATTCAGAAATAGATCTCACCTCATACCAAAGACTCTATCCAGTAAGAATCCACCAAAGAAACATAGAATGACATTGGGATATGAATATAGTGAATACAATAACACATAGGAATCAGCTTGCACACCCATGTCCTATAACGAGTAAAAACAAGAAACTGTGTCAACTAGTAATTTGTCGTTCCAAGGAGGGTTATTGAAACTTCCAAGGGGGGGTGGGGAGGAGAAAATTTTTAGAGTAGAGTATGAACCAGATGGGGATGGGAAGGTTCAACCAAAAAACCCTCTGGGAGAGGGGTACACATATTTTCTGGAACAACACAATACCCTAGAGCACAATCACACAAGACAATAAAAATCTTCAGTAATTAAAAAAGTTACACAATCAAGATATCGAACTTGCTTGAGCAGCTGCCAGAAACAACATTTCAAAAGAAGTACAATCTGGTGTAGCATGCAGCCTGAGGAATTAGGGGAATAACATTATGGTCTTCGCTTACAGTACACAGTGTACATGTACATGTAGTTGATCCTGAGAAAAGTTAACGATACAGGTACATTTTAGTCACGTGCCTGGCCAAGTGTTCCGCCAAGTGGGAGCATGGGCTGAATCACCAAAATGGATTAGGAACCAGGCTTACCCCGGGCTGTCCAATTAAAAATTAAAAACTACTCTTGAGTCATAAATTAACTAAGCTCGTCCCAGGTACCCAGTTAAGAACCTACTTGTTCAATAGTCTTCTCCAATGCTGCGGGATTGTCATAACAGTAGTAACTTCCTATATGAAAAGAAAAACAAAAAGAACAACAAAAAAAAAGGTTACAAAACAGTTTGGATAATGAGCCCTCCTAGTTAGTGGTTTTTCCATACAGCAACAACTGCCTCTGGGCTACCATCACAAAATGTGTTTACCTGGGATGTTTTTGTTTTCTCTATGACGCAGTCATTCTATTGAGTACCTCAAGCATAATCCACGCACACATTTGGTTTAAATTAGTAAATTTCTGGGTGATTTAAATATGGGCATTAAAATAGGCTTACTTATAATAATAGGCTTACTATTATTATTACTTTGTTGAGCAAGTTCAGAAAATAGTGAATCTAAGAGGCCCCCATCAGCAGAGGTCTGACTATCCCAGATCACAGGGCTCAAAATTATCTTTTTCGTTCAGGAGCCAGCTGGCGACTAACGGAAAAATTTTGGTCACCAGATCGTAAATTTTGGTCGCCAACTTATTTTATTTTGGTTGCCAACTTGTTTTATATATAAGAACACGATTTTATACGTTACTTTGCATGCAAGAAAAGTCACAACTGAAGAGCGAAAACAATTAGAAACAACATGAGTAACACTTAGTTATAAAGCTACCGTTGTTCTCAGGCGATATGTCTCTGGTCCGAAGGTGATGGTTGTCTCCATAGTCATTTTAAATGAAGCGAAGCATAAGACATTTTAAATCTGTGGTTTTCTTTAGTTATCGGACAAAACCTGAGTCATCAGCTGGCGACCAGCTCTGAAAATTTAGTCGCCAGTGCTCAATTTTTGGTCGCATTGGTGACCAGTGAGTCGCAATTTCGAGCCCTGGATCAGATGAATTTTTGGCCTAAATATCCCACATCCTGTAAAATTTCAGTTGCAAAAATTAACAATTTTCCCATTTGATATTCTGTTTTATTTTTTTCTCAAGCATCTGAGTGGGCCAGAATCCTAAATCCTGGAATTTGATTGGCTAATCATGCGCTCCTGACCATTTCCAGCTTTTTACGATATGGCCCACGGACCGGATACTTTCCCCACTGTAGTGATTATGTCTCACAAATTTTGCTCCAAAAGTTTGTGGTAATTGTCAACCTTTTGCCTTTTTTACACTTCCATTGACGATTAGTGAACGCAAGTTTATCTCTGTTCACTTTAAAATGGCAAGGAAAGTAAATTCAAGTAAATAAGTAAGTCAATTCATGTAAATAAGTAAGTAAATTCAATTGAGTGTTTTGAGGTTGCGAGAGTTTGCTTGGCTGTTTGTAGCTTGGCGCTGTAATGGCCCGTAATCCTGTGTTTCTCCCACTGTAAAATTTGAGTCAATTTCAGTCCAGTTTACCTCTCTGATCGTTTCTGTATTGAGAGAATTTCTGTGGAATACACTTAACAAATTTCCTCGCTTTCTGCTATTCAATTTACAGTAGAAAAGTCTGATTTCACATGATTTTAATAGCAATGACTGACAGAAATTGTTTTTGTAGTAAAACTTCAAACTTCACACGAAATTTCACACTGCAAAAACAAATTTTGGAGAACCTAACTGGTAAAATAAATGCAACTAACATAAAGTAGTTCCAAAAATTACTTTGTCTACTAGCTGAGTTACTTGCTCATTGCGAAGATTTTTTACAAATCGTTAGTAGACAGCTCACAAGCAGATTCAATGACAAAGTTGCGTAAACAAGCCTATATGTAACCTGTAAAACCAATTTTCTACAGGAAAGAAAAAAACATGTTATTTGCCGGCTTAGGTTGGTCCGTAGAGTGAAAAAGTGTGACCTTGGGCTTGAAAATGCTGCCCTCACCCTGCGACCTCGGGCAGCATTTTCAAGACCTCAGTCACAGTTTTTTACTATATGGACCTTCCCAGCCGGCAAATAACATATATTTCTCTGATCTTAATGTCCCATATCCCAATCATTTTCCCTCCAAATATCCCGCATCCCGTTAATTGTTTCTACCTAAAATATCCCGTGTCCCGTAAGCCCCGAAATAGGACCTCATCTAACCCTAGCCTTTCAGGCAACGTAAAAAAACGGCAGATGAATAACCTAGATGTCTCACGCACTAGCCTGAGCACTGTCGTTGAGAGACATTTGCTTTAAAAAATAGTGGTAAAGAACTGCATCAGCAAAGACTGCATGAATGCTGACTAGTCTTCACTCACAATGACATCTCGTTTAAGCCTTGCAGTGGAACTGATAGCGCTCCCGTGTCCATATGATCTTACATGTTTAGAAATATAGAAACCTGTGACGGCTACATTTAAATCTTAAGTGGCCCAATGTGGAGAAAATCGAAATATTTCGAGTATACACTGTTGCAAAATTTCCTCGGCCGGAAGTGAACAGAAACTGACGAAGAGACGTGACATTCAAAATTTACTTACCAAAACTCAAGAAACATATCAGCCCCAGTACAAAATAGCGATGGAAATTTCTTCTCGGATCACAGCAAGCTGTCGCTCCACAGCCAGTCAATTCCTCCTCGGAGTCTTCGAATTTCTTATTTATAAGTGGAGTCTTTTCTCCACTATCCTCCGCCATCTTGAACCTCACGAACGATCGCGTCCCATGACCAACACGTGACCTTTGCGTCCAGAGGACACCCAAATGATGCCATCAGAAAATAATTAATTGGGTAACCAGGGGCCGTTCAGTTTCGCGAAGGTTTCGCGCCCGAAAAGCCATATAGAGCAAAATCTCGAACCTTATGATTACAGAGCTGTTTTACTCGCATATTCTTAATATCAACAGAAGTTCCCTTCATACAAGACGTTTCAGGTGTATACACCTCTCCGGTTTTAGATACAGATGAACTGAAAATGGCTTTACGGGCCTGAAAAGTTTCGAGAAACGGGCCCCTGAATATTTGCTAGTTGCAACGCTTTGAATTGCGCTTTCGAGTGGGGTATTGTATATTCCATAGACCTCTGCCTTTGCAAAAATGGCTCCGATTTTTGAATAACAATACCTGTACATCCTAAGCTTGACATTCATGTGAATAATCCTTTGTCTGGAAACATGAGTATGAGGCTAAGGATGTACAAAGTATTGTTAGTCAAATCTAGGCGCCATTTATGCAAAGGGTTTATTAAAAACTGAATCATTGGATAATGCAGTTCAGGCGTTTTCATTGACTTAGCCATCATGAGCGATGAAC